TGAGCCTGGAAGTAATGGCCCAACTTCTTGACGGTCCAAACGATAGCCAACACCGTCTTTTCCACGGGGGAGTACCGGAGCTCCGCTTCCCTGAGGGTCTTGCTAACATAGAAGATGGCATGTTGGATGTTATCCTCTTCCCGGATGAGTACAGAGCTGATGGCAGCCGGGCTAACACCCAAGTAGAGGTACATGATTTCCCCTACCTTGGGTTTAGAGAGCACATGGGGTGAAGATAAGTATCGTTTCAGCTCCTCGAATGCCCCTTGACATTCTGAAGTCCATTGGAAACCGGCGGTTTTCCTCATGATCTGGAAGAAGGGTAAGGACTTCTCCGCCGATTTTGATAAGAAGCGGTTGAGGGCTACCAGGCGACCCGTCAACCGTTGGACCTCCTTCACGTTGCGTGGGGGCTCCATGTTGATGATGGCCTGGATTTTCTCGGGGTTGGCCTCAATACCCCTTCGGCTAACCATGTAGCCCAGGAATTTTCCCCCCTGGACGCCGAAGGTGCACTTCTTCGGGTTTAGCCGAAGGCTAAACTTCTGCATGATGGCGAAGATCTCCCTCAGATCGTCAGCATGGTTTGCTGACTGCTTGTTTTTGACGATCATATCGTCAACATATGCCTCCATGGTGCGCCCCAGGACAGCTTGAAATACCCTGGCCACCATCCGAGTGTAGGTGACGCCTGAGTTCTTCAGGCCGAAGGCCATGACAAGGTAGCAGAAAATGCCCTCGGGAGTCATGAAGGCTGTTTTTCCAGCGTCTTCCTCGTGCATGTATATTTGATGGTATCCGCGGAATGCGCCGAGGAATGACATGATTTCACACCCCGCGGTTTCATCCACCAGTTGATCAATATTGGGCAGAGGAAAGGGGTCCATGGAAAATGCCTCGTTGAGATCCGTGTAGTCCACGCACATGCGGAATGAGGGCGGTTTCTGTGCGAGGACTACGTTCGCCAACCATGAGGGATATTTCACCTCCTTGATGTGCTTGATAGAAAGAAGCATGGCGACCTCTTTCTTCACAAATTCCCTTCTCCCGTCTGAGAGGGGTCTCCTCCGCTGTTGTACTGGTTTGGCCGAGGGGTCCACCGAGAGGCGGTGGGTGATGACCCTTCGGCTGATCCCCGGCATGTCCTCCAGCCCCCGTGCAAAAACAATGGAGTAGGCGCGGAGGGCGCTGATGATGCCGGTCTTCAAGTCTTCGGGGAGCTTGGCTCCAATCTTCACGACTCTCTCCGGCTTGGCCGGATCGAGCGCGAAGTCTTCTACCTCTTCGGCTGGTTCAGCCCTCGGCCTCATTTCTTCCGCTTCCACAGTCCCGGTGATGGTGTCAACGCGGAACTCCGTCTTGCTAACCTTCTTTGTAACTTGAAGGTAGCAAGCGCGGGCGAGCTTTTGGTTTCCCCTCGAGTAACCAATCCCCCCTTTGGCTGGGAACTTGAGGCAGAGGTGCCTCATGGAGATGACGGCCTCGAGATCCTCGAGGGCTGGCCGCCGAGGATGATGTTGTGGGCGCAGTCGATGTTGACGACGACGAACTCCACTTCGAGCTTGGCTCTATGGAGGCCGTCGCCGAAGATGACCGGGAGGGTTATGACCCCCTCGGAATCAATGGTGTCGTCGGTGAAGCCGGCAAGAGGGGTCTTGATGGGCCGAAGGGACCCCCTCTCCAGATGCAGCTCTCTGAAGGTGCTGAGGTACATTACATTGATGGAGCTGCCCGTGTCAATGTAAGTTCTGTGAATAATGGTGTCGTTGATCTCTGTGCGGATGACGAGGGCATCCCTGTGGGGGGAGGATACTGGGGGGAGATCATCGTTGGTCAAGATAATGGGTTCCTCCCTCAGCCGCTTTACCGGGGGCATATGAGTGACTTCCCCCAAGTAAAGTGACTGAGCCCACTTCTTTCGTTGACTTGTGGAGTCACCCCCGGTATTTCCCCCCGTAATCATGAGGATGTGGCGTTTCTTTTCTTGATATCGGGGGTACTCCTCCTCTTCTTCTTCCAGATTTCCAATCTCCCTCTTCTTGCCGAGGGGGATGGTGTTGGGGTTGACCCATGCATTCCCTCTCGCAGTTTGCCCTCGGGGTGGCCCCTGATGAGGGGGGGGGGGCCTGTTGCTGAGGGCCCTGGACAAACTGGGACAGATGGCCCGCTTGTATCAATCTCTCGATGGCCGTCTTCAGCTGATGGCAATCATCGGTCCTGTGCCCCTGGTATCGGTGGAAACGACAGTAGGGGTAGTTTGGATTTATGGCAAATACCTCCGAGGGGGCGCGTGAGTCTCGCTCCACGAGGCCCCTTTCTTTAGCAAAATCAAGAATAACGCTGATGGGATGCGTCAATTGTGTCCGAGGGTGCTCCAGGAGGACAGGCTGTGCCCAAGCCCTCGGGTTCCCTTTGAAACCTGCCCCGGGCTTGGCTTGGCCGTGCCGGGGGCGATCACCGGAGGGGGCAGGATCCCTGGGATGATTGCGGGGAGCCCCCGGCCCTCGGTTACCTTTGTCTTCTGGCCGAGGGCGTTGCTGGTCTCGGACATGGTGGCATTTCTCCACGTCCTCGGCCTCGGCGTACCGGTCCCCCCGCTGTAGGGCCCTTATATAATCGCGGGGGGGGGGGGGGGGGGGGGGGTTCGATGATGAGACTTCTTGAGAAGTTCCCGGGGCGGAGTAGTGTTTGTAGGAGGGCTAGGAGGGTCCCGTCGTCAGCGCCGTCAACTTTATCAGCCTCCGTCCTCCAGCGCTCCAGGAAGTCCCGAAGGGTCTCCTCCTTCCTCTGCCTCACTGTTAGCAAGTGGGAGAAGTGTTTTCTTGTGCGGCGCCTCCCCGCAAATTGCGTCAAGAATCGTTGGGCGAGTTCCTGCCGTGAGTCAATACAGCCCTCGGGCAATCGGTTGAACCATTCGTAAGCTGGCCCCTCTAGGGTGGAGAGGAACCAACGGCACAAATATTCATCCGATGCCCCCACCATCATCATGCTGGTTTGATACCTGCTGTAGTGCTCCTGGGGGTCAGTCTTTCCGTCATAGGGCTTGATGAGCTGCCCTCGGTATTTCTCCGGGATCCGGGCCGCCAATACCCTTGGGGTAAATGGCGTCCGGGTCCGGAGTTATATGGTGGGTTCCCCGGATCCCTCGGCTATCTTCTTCTGCATTTCTTCCATTTTCGCCATCATCGCCTCATACTTGAGGTCTGTATGAGGGGCGGAAGTGGTGGCGTGGACTTTGGTGGCCTCCATCTCGTCAAGCCGGCGCTGGAGGGCCGCAATGATTTCGTCCCAGGGGTCCTTCTGGAGGGCCTCCGCCCCCTGCGAATGGACCCGAGCCGAGTGGGCTTGATTGATTTGATGGCGTGCGTCGTCGGCATGGAGAGGTGCCTTGCCTTTGTCCTGAGGGGGACGTCTTTCATTGGCCCTGGAGACGGACCCGCCACTTTCCTGAGGTCTTTGGAACGCCCTCCCCCCGAGGCGGTCTTGCGCCCCTCCGAGCCTCTCGAGGGTGGAGGTCCGGGGGTGCTCCTTGTTCACGTCATGGCGGTCCCGGGACTGGACTTCCTGGGAGGCCGTATCTTGGGCCACGACCCCCTCGGAGTTCCCCATCCGGAGGACCGGGTTACCGAGGGGTCATGGATGAGGGGGAGGCAGAATATTCTCCCCAACCTGAGGCTGGTGGGGAACCAAAGTGCCGAAGGCACCCGGGTTCTGAGTGAGCGTATGGATGAAGGCGGAGAGCGCCGATTGAACGTCGATGGTGATGACCGGGGGGCTAATTTGATTTTCGCTCCGGTCCTTTTTCTTGGCCTCGATGCCGAGGCGGGCATCGGGAGCATTTTGCTGAATCTGCTGGCGTAGGTCGACAGCCGTCTGGTCCATCCCGGCGATGACGCCGCCCCCGGGAGCTCTGTTGGAGGCTTCGGGGACGTCGACCTCGCCGAGGGCCAGGTTCCTGTCCTCTACATTCTTGGAGTTGGCACGAGTTGTTCTCACCATTTTGGATGAGTGTTTTTGTGTTTGGTCGAGGGGGAGGGTTTCTTACTTGATTGTTCGACCTCTCAACGAGAGCACCAAATGATGGATAGTGTACCCGGGGGGTAGCTTATCCGAGGGGTTATTACGGAGAATAATAAGAGAGAAGTCAGAGCAAGTAAGTATAGAGAGAGAAAGTGTATTGTAAAGTGTGGAGCGTTTTCAGCATGGTTACAAATGGGGAAATGTGGTGCTATTTATAGTAGCAATAAATGCCGGACAGGGACACGTGTCAAGCGTTCATTGGCCGAGGGGTCACCTCAACTGGTTGGTGCTGGCAACCGCATGTGGCCGCATTTAATGCGGCTGTTGGATGGGACGTTGTACAGGGTACGGTGATCTGTACGCATGTGGCGCGGATATCATGTCGGGAAGGGTGCCCTCGGCTGTAGAGGACTAGCCGAGGGCTCTGAGTACTGGGGACCCCCTTGGTGCCGAGGGCTCCAGGTGCCGAGGGCTACTGATTTTTGCCGTTTTTTCCAGTAACTTTGTTTTGCTGTCCTGGCCCTCCTGTGAGAGTTAGAGCCTTCGGCCAAGGACCGAAGGCACCCCTGGTGCGCATTTGTGGGCTGCTTGGTACTCTGGGCGCTGTGATTTGAGCCTGTTGGGCCTTCTGGGCCTGTTGGGCCTTGATTGGAGTAGTAGGAGTCTGTGGGCCGGAGGTTCCCGGTCCATATACTCCATCACTCCATTTTATGAAAATTCAATTTGACATACAAGTAAGTAATGTTTGTTAGAAACAATGATTTTCATGCACACATCATTGACATATGTGCAAAGGATATAAACAAATGCACAAATAAATTCAACTTGTGTTTAAAGATAGATTGTTTAATACGCCAACTAACCAACTCGGCATAATATGTATAAATAATATAAACAGAGCATATAAATCGATCACTAATGTCATTTTCCGGTAAATGATGTTCAAAGATGGTAAACTATGTATGATAGAATAGATTTGTGGAATAATGGCTTAAACCCTTTAGGGTTGCCGTATGTATGGTATATATAATAGTATTATGAATGTTAATTACAAATTAGTCCTTCTATTATTCTATTACACCCTCTCAATATGTGCAGATGGTACAACTCGCAGATTGGATTTCAAAAAATTAAATCGCTGACTAGTCAAAATTTTAGTAAAAATATCAGCTAACTGAAACTGGGTGGGGATGTATTTAACAACAAGATCTCCATGTGCTACCCGCTTGCGAACAAAATGATAATCTATCTTGATGTGCTTGCTACGATCATGTTGAATAGGATTCACTACTAAGTAGGATGTAGAGACATTATCACAATAAAGCTGAACAGGTTGAGGAATAAAAAATCCCATATCCGCGAGTAAAGACCGGATAAATAAAGTATCCTGAACTGTGTAAGCGACTGCTCGATATTCAGCTTCAGTGGAGGATTTTGAAACAGTAGGCTGCTTCTTAGACCTCCATGAAACTAAATTACCGCCCAAGAAAATAACATAACTTGTGGTAAAGCGACAGCTATCGGGACAACCTGTCCAGACAACATCTGAATATGCAATAATAAGTGATGGATTACCACCTTTACGCAACCATAGTCCTTCTGTAATAGTGCCCTGCAAATATCTATAAATACGCTTGATGGCTATTAAATAAGTAGTGCGTGGGGCATGCATAAATTGAGACTCTAGATGAACAACATAGGTAATATCCGGTCTAGTAAGAGTAAAATATTGTAAGGCTCCAACCATACTACGATACTCAGTACCGTCGGCCAGAAGTTCCCCATCAGTCAAAGACAAGGTGGTACGAGATGGAAGAGAAGTGCGAACTGGTTTAACGGTATGGAGATGAAAACGTCGTAAGAGGTCGGAAATATATTTTTCCTGAGACAAGAAGATACCCTTGGGCATGCGTATGGTTTGAACACCTAAAAATGATAAATCTCCCCTACATCTTTCATGGCAAAATTGTGAGATAGTTTGGAGATAAAAGACGTAACAAGAGAGGGAGAACTACCCGTTCTAAGAATATCATCGACGTATAACAAAATATAGAGAATCTGTGAAGCATGACAATAGACAAACATAGAAGAATCGGACTTACTTTGAGAAAAGCCCTGACTCAGAAGAAATCCACTAAAACGATGAAACCGGGCACGAGGGGTTTGTTTGAGACCATAGAGAGCTTTGCGTAGACGACATATGTGAGTAGGAAATGAAGGGTGAACACACCCTGGTGGCTGACGCATATATACTTGCTCAGTTAAATTACCATGTAAAAAGGCATTCTTTACATCTAACTGACGAACCCCCCAACCAAAAGAAGTCGCTACATATAATAATAAACGCACAGTAGTGGGTTTAACCATGAGACTAAATGTATCAGAAAAATCAACCCCAACTTACTGATTAAAACCCTACGCAACCAAATGAGCTTTGTGTCGCTCAACTGACCCGTCAGACTTGTACCTTGTTTTGAAAATCCATTTACACTGAACCACATTTTTTGTGCGATCACATGGTACTAAATCCCACGTTTTATTAGTAATGGGGGCATTAAACTCATCGGCCATTGCCGCTCGCCACTTTAAACTCTTATTAGCTTGAGAAAAACATGTTGGATCGGGAGGCACTCCACAGTGGTAAGAGACATTATAGTTTTGGGTTTAAAGATACCATCCTTTGCACGAGTCCTCATCGGGTGAATATTCTGGACAAGAGGTGAAGAACTCAGTGGGGAGGAGGGTGACGGGTGGGATGGTAAAGCAGTGGCCGAAGAGGACACTAGGGTGGACGAAGAGGGAGTGGGTGACAACCTGGAGGGTTGGTCCATGGGCTGGTGATGAGGTGAACCTAACGGGCTGGTGTGGACACTAGGTGAGTGGCTGGAAGACGGACTAGAGGGATCAGTGAGTGTAGGTAAAGGGTCAGCTGGAGCTATTGAAGTAGCTGCGGACCGACTACAACCTGGGGATGGTCTGAGTGTGTGAGTTAGATGTAGGAGTGGAGAGTGAGACCTAGGTATAGAAGGGGTAACATTTATAGGATATTCTAATAGTGACATAGGAGCAGGGGATGTGGTTGAGTGGCGTAAAAGTGTGGAATAGAGAAAAATGTCCTCATGAAAAATTACATCCCGACTAATGTGGACATGACCAGTGATGGGGTCAAGACAGCGATATCCTTTAATTTGTAACCTCGGACGTAGCCAAGAAAAATACAAGGGATAGAGCGCGGTGATAGCTTATTGGCGGAATTTGCAATTTTATTGGGAAAACAAGCACAACCAAACACACGTAAAAAATCATGGTCCGAAGATTTTTGAAAAAATTTCCGATGTGGACGGAGACCACTCAAAATTGGTGTGGGGAGACGATTAATCACATAAGTAGCTGTATAAATAGCATCCATATGACAGAATAGATTTGTGGAATAATGGCTTAACCCTTTAGCCTCGCCGTATGTATGGTAATACTATCGTATATAATAGTAATATGAATGTTAATTACAAATTAGTCCTTCTATTATTCTATTACTATGATCGTTCCACCAGTGTGAAAGCAAAGTTGCTATCTTCTTATAGAACTAAGAGTCTAAATCCATGGAGAGAGAGTTTTTATGCTCAACAGTCGTGTTCTACGTTCTTGTAAGTAGACTAGAAGATGACATGATCTCTATATTAGCATACGACTGATGAGCAACTTTGCTAACTAATTAGCTATCGCCTATCACGAGTATCAGCATGTTTAATAATATAATCATCACCATAAGCTTATGAATTTTTTGATATTCATTTAGTAAGTTATCTATGCTCAGGGATGGATTTAAGGGGTGTGGGGAAATTTTTCTACAATATATTTAATATTTTCATAAAAGTTTTATAGTTTAATTAGATATATATGTGTTCGTCCCCCTTAACCACTACAAAAAAACAGCCCGTTTGTCACGGATATTTCCGTGACAAAATCCGTGACAAAGTAGTCACGGACAGATTCCGTGACAAAATCCTTGACAAATGACCTCCGGTGGCCGGTAATTTACTCCGGCCAAAATTTATTATGTCCGGGCACTTTGTCACGGATGGATCCGTGACAAATCCCTGACAAAATTCAAAAAATATTTGTCACGGATGCATCCATGACAAGTTCCGTGACAAATCCCAATAATTGATTTTCCAGCGGCCATCTAATTAATTTTGTATGAAAAGTTTTTGTCACGGATATTTCCGTGACAAAATCTGTGACAAAAAAAATCTACATATACCACAGCATGATTTCATTCGAGATACATCGGTTTGAATTTTATCACAGTATAATACAATATCTGTTGAATGATTGAAGGATGTAATCTATCAGTTTATCATTTTCCCTGTTTATGCAAATAAAGTATGTCATTTGAATTATGTATTTTTTTATTAAGTATTAATTTTTTCATTTTAAATAATTAAAATTTTGAAATTAGTGAGGTTGTTAATTTATTAACAATGTATTTAACCATAAACGTAATTTAGTAAAATTTAAATATATGTTAATTGAAAATGGATTACAAAATTATTAGGTTTGGTTTTTTTGACTAGTTATTATTAGGTTTGTTTAGTATATTAGCAATTACTTTTAATGCCTAATTTAGGATTTATATATAGTGATTTAAGTGTGGATTGAAGCATGAGTTTAGTGTGAATTATTGGTTAATTGAAATGAGTTTGAATTGATAATATTATTAGGTAATACCGTTAATTTAGGATTTGAATTGATAATTTTATTAAGTATTAATTTTTTCATTTTAAATAATTAAAATTTTGAAATTAGTGAGGTTGTTAATTTATTAACAATGTATTTAACCATAAACGTAATTTAGTTAAATTTAAATATACGTTAATTGAAATTGGATTACAAAATTATTAGGTTTGGTTTTTTTGACTAGTTATTATTAGGTTTGTTTATTATATTAGCAATTACTTTTAATGCCTAATTTAGGATTTATATATAGTGATCACTACAAAAAAATTCGCCTGTAGTCACGGACCGTAGTCACGGATTTGGTCCGTGACTAGTTAGTCACGGTTCTAATCACGGTTTAGTCACGGAACGGTTAAAAAAAAAGTAGTCACGGATTTGTCCGTGACTACGTCCGTGACTATAGGTAGTGACGGACCTAGTCCGTGACTAAAGTGTTCCGACCAACCCATTTTCGCCTCCGGCGGGATTTAAGTTAGGATTGAAGCATTAGTTTAGTGTGAATTATTAGTTAATTGAAATGAGTTTGAATTGATAATATTATTAGGTAATACCGTTAAATGAGCTAGTGAACTTTAGTGAAATGTAATATATTAATGTTCGTAAATGTTAATTAATTATGATTCAAAAGTTAGTTAGTTGAAATGATTGATGTCACAAACATATTGCTTTTAGTTATGATTAATTATTGTTTATAATTTGTAGTTTTTATAATATTAAATTAATATTTTTTGATTATAATATTCAGGCATTATGTATAGACAAAATAGAAGTTGGATGTATGATAAACATGGCGAAAAAAGAAGAATGCGATCTCAATATTTTGAAGGAATTCAAGAGTTTATTAAATTTGCACTTGAACATAAGGATCATATGGATGGTGATAGAATCAGATGTCCATGTGTCAAGTGTAACAATCTCAAATTTAAAGACCCCGATGAGGTTGTGTGGGATTTGTACGAAAAAGGTTTTGTTGACAATTATTACAATTGGACTTCTCATGGTGAACCTTTTGATCCATCACTTTTACCACAACCAGTAGGTTCGTCTCGTAACGTTTCTAACGAGATGAGTGGGTGGGGAGATTATGCTCAAATGAACTGGGACCAAAGAATGGTATATGATGTATACGGTGCCTCGACGTCTCAGTTTAACCCTCCACAACCATTTAGCGATCCTCCTGAAGCCTCGACCTCGTATCAATCATATGCGAATGAAAATCCGAATTCTCATGTCCCTCATATTGAAGGTTTATCTGAGAGATTTCAAGATGTTCTAAAAGCTGCTGATCAACCTCTGTATGCTGATTGTGAGGGATACTCTCAGCTATCCGCCGTTTCGGAGTTGATGAACATTAAAGTCGAGTACAGTCTTCCAGAAATCTGCATGTCTAGGCTGTTGCAAACAATTGGAGGAATGCTACCGCGTGACCATAATCTTCCCGATTCATATTACCACATGAAGCAATTAATTTCTCAGTTAGGGCTTTCTTGTATAAAAATTGATGTGTGCCCTGACGGATGTATGTTGTTCTGGAAGGATGATGAGACACTTGAGAGCTGCAAGTTCTGTGGTGGAGAGAGATACAAACCTGTTCCTCTAAAGAAAAAAAACCACGATATCGGTCTGCATTGTCTAAGTTGTTTTACTTCCCACTAGCTCCACGTCTAAAGAGGATATATGCTTCAAATGCAACTACGAGATACATGACATGACATGTTGAGCACGAAACCAAAGAGGGTTTGATATCTCACCCTTCTGACTGTGAAGCTTGGAGACACTTTGACCGCTGTCATCCTCAGTTTGCAATGGAGCCACGGAATGTGCGACTGGGATTGTGTTCAGACGAATTAGCTCCTTTTGGAAAGTTTGGGAAGCAATTTTCATGTTGGTCAGTCATGTTAACTCCCTACAATCTACCTCCCGACATGTGCATGAAAAGTCATTTCATATTTTTGACTTTAATTTGTCCAGGTCCCTCGGATCCTAAAAAAAGGATAGACATCTATCTCCAACCCCTTATCGAGGAGATGAAAGAACTTTGGGCCATTGGGACACCAACTTATGATGTTTCAAGAGATGAGATGTTTATCATGAAAGCTGCCATCATTTGGACCATTAGCGACTTCCCTGCATATGGTATGCTTTCAGGATGGAGCACACACGGTCTTCTGGGATGTCCGATATGTATGGAGAAATCAGGTGCCAGCTGGCTCAAATTCAGCGGGAAAACAAGTTACTTTGATTGTCACCGCAAATTCCTCCCGGCAAACCATCGATATCGAAGGGACACAAAATCTTTCATTAAAGGAAGAGTGGTACGAGACCCCCCACCTCCGAGACTTATAGGGGAACAATTTTTGAACAGGGTTCGACGTATTCCTTCGGCAGTGCAAGAGCCACACAAAGACCCACATGGGTATTGTATTACCCTTAAGTGGACAAAGAGGAGTATATTTTGGGAAAGACCTCATTCGCCACAACTTAGATGTCAAAAAATTTCAAGTTTCCCGCCTAGCCGATTTCGGATATTTAAAAAAAAAACAATTCAAAAAAATAATAAAAAAATTGTCACGGAAACATCCGTGACAAATAAACATCGGTGTTGCTCCGGTGACTTGTTTTATCACGGATTGTTGCCGTGACAAGACCGTGACAAACTGTTGTCACGGAATATTGGCCGTGACTAAAATTTTTGTCACGCAAATGTTGTCACGGATAAATCCGTGACAAAGTCCGTGACAAAATTTTTTGTCACGGATTTTTTGAACTGGGATCCGTGACAAAATCCGTGACAAAGTCCCTGTTTTTTTGTAGTGAACTTTTAGTTTTCCAAATTAATATATAGCTTTACATTATGTAATACTTAATTGGAGATTTAAAAGATGAAACATCTAAAATAATTTACATAACTTAAACAAATAAACAATAGAACAACTCATTGTTTAAGATTTAGGATACCTATTATATAAAAATTCATAGTTTTGAAATGTTTAATTATCTTTAATTTATTAGATAATTATAACTCGATTCGTAAAATATCAAACAATATTAAATACGAGACACACTAGTTAAACAATTTTTAGATCATGTGAAATGAATCTAAAATCACACAATTCGATTACTTCTTAATCTTTAAAAATAATTTATTGCATAGATAATAAAGTTTAACTTATTTTAGCCTTAATATAAATTTAATATCCACCATATGTAAGAATCATCGATATAATATTATTTTAAAAATAATAATCTCATACTA